TTAATTATGTTTGAATTGTATAGCAAAATGAAGGTAGTAATTTGGCTTTTTTTTATGAATTCAATGCACTAATCAGTAGTATTTCAATTAGATATCTTAGATTTAGAACAGAAAGTGTCTGTTTGTTTTATTTCTCTGATTCCTCTTTGGTTTCTTGTTGGAAAGCCATGTCGAGCACAATGACACCAAATTTCACTTATTTTACCCAATCAAAACACTTCCAGCTTGTCACAAAAGCAAGTCCAGGGGTTAACAAGACCGAGACAAAGATCGAAAGGAATGGCTTTGGTTCAAAAATGGCAAATAAACCGTCTGTGCGGACTCAGCTGGGGTCACCTTGTATATCATTGCCATTATTTTGTTTTTATTAGTTGAAAAATGAAGGTGGCCTTCGACTCGTAGCGGATTTATGTCGAGTGCAAAGCTGCTTTAGGTTCTTGGCCAAACGACTATTCCAATTAATTGTGATTTAATACCCCTGCAAGAAATTAGGCCTCTTTTTCCGAAAGGGTCGTTAATTAGCACCATCAACTTTGAGGGATGAAGGTTGTGGTTCAAGATGGGGAGAGTTTTATGGACCAGCTAATCAAAATAATGCCCCTTTTTATGGCTATAGGAAGACATCTCTCATCACTATCAGGCAAGGTTACTCTGCCTCACTGCCCCACGCACATGGTGGTGAGTGCTGGATTTCACTGTATTAATCAAACAACTGGAAGTAGTTTTGCTTGCATTGAAGCATGGCCGCCATGTTGGATCGAAGGTAATTCTGGGGCTGACATTTCGGGATTTGGTCACCCTTACATCTTCTGAAAGAACTACTGTATTGAAGACGACGGTGGAGGGAGACATTTAAGAAAGGGCAATCAGCAAGCCAATGGAAGGGAACAGTAAGATTTGCCTGAAAAGGACATGGTTAGCATGAGACGAGGTTTAGACACGAAATGTGATGATTTATGGCAGAAGTTGTGTTTTTCTTGGTGGACATGTAGAATATAGCTGAAATCTTCACACCCTTTAGCTGTAGTCCCAAAATTAAGACCACATTTTTGCACATTTGCCTTCTCTTGGAGGCCAGCAGAGGCTGCTACTCTTGAGTTAATATGTTAATCTATCTATCCATCTCACACTCAGCAAGTCAACTGTGTATGTGAAGAAGCAAAGATGGTGTTAGTAAAAGTCCATAGAATTTAGAACATGATCAGTGTACAGTGTTGCACATGCATTTGTTGTTTTGTGTTTTTATAAGCTGATTTTTAAATCTTTCATTAAAATTCAATCTTAATTAAATTAAATTGTATAGATTGCCAGGCACCTTCCATCACATATTCTAAACCATTAGAATATGGTTCTACACTATACTAATAATAGTCCTTGTGCAAAACTGCTAACGCTACATTCACCTACACCTGTAACATGATTAAATGCATTCATGTAGAGCCCTTATTACCAGAATAAGAAAGACATGAACAACTAATTTGTCAGTTTCCAGGTTTTCTAAGTCCTAATTTTGGCTGCAAATCTCCAGGTTTCATATATTTTACTAAGGAAGGCTTCACATGCACACTAATTCCTTTGTACAGTGCCAGCAAAAATGCCAGTAAGTAGCCACTTACTGATTTGCAGGGAATGCTACTTCAAATATAGACAAATATAAACATGATTTTATAGTTCTGTACTAAGATTGCATTTTGTATCCTCCTTTTGGTTCACGACCCCTCTTACGTCTTCTTCCTTCTTAAAACAACGAGGAGGCAATACTTCATGCTTCTTACTTCTTACTTTCGTCACTTTGTCTTAACAGAAACACTGGGAAGTGGGTATGAGGATGCTTTTTCGTCTGAGGCTTCCTTCTTCCCTCAGATGGCCCTTAAGATAAAGTAAACCTTGTCTTGAGGGACGGACATTTGAGGACATTGAACGAGGGGGTGTAGTTATTGCGTGTCTTCACGATACCAAACACCTCCATCCCTTATCTTCTCTTATTCGATGTGTTGAGTACTAACTGTTGTCATGGTAACATGCCCACTCGCAAACGCTCACGAAAGTGCTGTTTACGAATCAAAGACTCATGGGACTACATTCCATGCCCATATACGCCCAACAGGGAAGGGATCACTAGTCACCTGTATTTAGACTTCTCCATGATACAGTAATGTATACAAGACCTTTTTCCAACCCAGGCCTCCACTGGCCAAAAAACCTGTCTCTGGTATACGTTAACAGCATACAGTATGAGCATAGCGTAATCCCGCTCGAGGGACCGGTCGTGCTGTGCTAATTTTCTCCTGTGGTGACGGTTTTTTAAAAACCCTGTCACAGCCCATGCCAAAACCCCTCAAACAAGGTTAGATTTTTACTGTGCATGTATGAGTGTGTGTAAGACACAGTATATGTCATTGTAACATGCAGAGAAGGTGAGTTGTTTCTGCTTTTAGCGAAGGATAGGAGAAATAACACCGGAGGTGTTAGGAGACGGAGGGATATTCTCCTTCGACATATGGGGGTTGCTTTGATTAATTGAGCGATTAAGGTTTGAAATTCATGTCAGCACTCTACAGTCCTAGACTCCATTAGTTGGAGAGAAGGGGAGAATCCAGATGTTTCACTCAGATAATTGTACAGAAAACAGCAACGGCAGAATTCCACCGCAGTAAGGCCCAGCACTCAGAAAGTGCTGTTTATTTTCGGACTTATGACTAAAGGGGACTTAAATCATGGAACAAAAATATCTTTCTCCGCTCTCATTCAACCTCTCTCTAGCTCTTACTCTCACTCTTCAACTCCAAAAGGATTTTGAATTAATTAAGAGGTCTTTCGATTCAATATTAATCCAAAGATATGCACTTAAAAAGGGCAATGGTTTTGACCTCTGGAGGACAATTTGAAAAACTGACTACTCAAACCTTGTGGTATGGCTGACCTGTACTCTGAGTCAGCATGTGTAATCCTTATTGTGTGTCTGAGTGAATGAATGAACCTGAATGAGTGTGTTTAAAAGTCCTTTAGGCATGCTGAAAATCTGAGAATTGCCCAATAAAAACTAAACAGTCAACAAACCTTTTAAAGTCTTTTGCTTCATCTTTTGATTTAGTGAAACACTCAGGTCCTGACCATTTAACTGACAAGGACCATGTGCTGCCATGGATAGATTACCCAGTTGAAAAATGAATTCAACAAATTGCTGTTCTCCTAGTTAAACACACTGGCAAACCTAGTTTTGAAAGAAATCTAACTGCTGCGATGCCATTTGGGTGAACATTTGTGAGCAGCCTTAGCAAAAAAGATTGTAAGATACGCTTTGAGTGAATTGGTCTTTCTTTGCACAGCGTAGCCAAACAGAAATGCTAAATCAGGTAAAAATATGTGCATCCAATGACTGGGAGTCCAAGAGATTGTGATCACTCTCCCTGGGTGAGTAGGATAGCCCCCTTTACCTTACAGTTCTCAGTGCAGTGCTTGCCAAAGCAGACATCTTATAACTGATGTAATAGAATTGACAGTGTCGCATTTTCCTTCAAGCGTGTTGAGCTGTCCAATTACATAGGAATAAGCGTCAGTTTAAAAAGATGTAGTGACACTTTATGTGACTCAGAGGAAGCATGTGAAGCCCTCTCTCCCTGCTTGGTAGTATTGTGTGGCAGCGGGTAGAATTGGTCACAACTTAATTGGGAAGAAAATGGGGTGAAAATCTAAAGGAAAAAAGTGTTTAAAAGTCAGTGTAAATCAAAAATCACTCGCACTTTCCTTGACATATTTTCCACTGAAATGTGATATTGGGGGTGGGGGGGTGGGGTCGCAGAACTGGCTGAGCAGTTTGCTAAGTGATGGGTGAGGAGGAGGAGGTGAAAAAAGATATTTTTAGTTAATATTATTGTTCCCTGCCCACTTGTGCATGGTGTCTTAATCAGAGCTCAGAAGCTGCTTTACAGGTGTGCAAAAGCCAATACATTTCAATCAAAGATTAAGGGAATAAAAGAAATTTGTCTTTTAAATAGTGTAATATGTTAATTCATGCTTAACACCAGGGATGTGAGCTAACAAGGTAAAAAAAAAAGTTTTTAAAGCTCTGAAAATTTGCTGAATTATTTTACAAATTTGGAAACTAATTACTTTGAGTACATTATAAAGATGGTTTTCTTTGGTAAAATTTTCAAAAACTTTAGAAAAAAACTAGTTTATATCAAGAGGGTACAGGCATTTATTCTGAAACTTTGATACTAGCAATAGCACACTTAGTAATTGTTAAGCAAACTCCTTAAGACTTCAGCTTGACATGTACTTGAATCCATCTCTCTTTTTCACTGGTCGCAGAGGGGAATTTTACTGTTAACATTCTTTCTCAAGACATAGACATGACTAAGAGGGAATGCATCCTACTGAGATTGAAGTTTCAGGATCAGTGCCCTGTTTTCCAAACATTTTGCAGATTAATGATCATCGTTAATTTCTGATGCTAGCCCTGCTGTATTACAGTGATTGCTTTGCAGTGATGTTTCTGGGAAGTGCAGCCCAGACGAGTGGACTGCAGTATTGGTTCTCAGTCAGTATTTCTGAACACTGTAACTGGGCCACCAATCTTAAAGCCAGAATAGACGACCTGTGCTGTAAATCACGGTAACCCCACTTAGAGTCTCAGACGATAAAACGTATGCGTGTGTGTGTGTGTTTGTGTCTAAGGGAAACGGATGAGTTACCCTGGAAGGTGTAATGACAAAGCGCAGATTAGTGACGATTCTTTGTCTGACCCTAGGCAAACAGGCAGCCATTAGCCAAGAATCTCTCTGATGACAGGAAGAGAGCAGGGGGTTTTGGGTAGTGCGGTTCTTCGGTATGCTAACCGTCACTGCGCACCTGCCGGCTGGCTAACCTCCCCTGCTGTGTAACTGTGTGTATTTGCCTGCCCGACTTACAGTATTGTGCGTTTGTATCTGGTATTTGTTAAAGTAATGACTTACCGTAGGTCGTAACCCCCCTTATCCTTCTCGATTTCCCACCAGGCAACAGGCGCTGTTGGCAGCCATCAGCGAAAAGGATGCTAACATTGCCCTTCTAGAACTTTCGGCTTCTAAAAAGAAGACGAGCCAAGAGGAGGTGATGGCCTTGAAAAGAGAAAAGGACAGGCTCATGTACCAACTCAAGCAGCAGGTAATGCACTGTCTCTGGTTTACAGACAAGTCAGTTCCATTAACTAATAACCACAGGTGCAATTAGAGGCCTACTTATATTCTTCATGCAAATAGAATGATGTCAGTGTGTTTTTCTCTGATTTTTAGGTAAGTCTCATGTAGATGGTCTTTCCTCTGTCAAATGACAGCCCCAATTATGTGGATCTTTGCCTTTGCATTTTACTTTAGGTTATATGTAGTTTCTGTTTCAGTTCTGGGTTTTAGTATCATGGTGAGTATTTTGTCATAAATCAGGGAGTAATTCCAAATTGAACTCTGTAGTTTCCTTCTGATGAGTTTTGCTATGCTAAATTAGCACAAATGTGGCCTGTGCTCAGGTTCGCCCTCTCCTTAGTATTTAAGATTTGACATAGAAGGAATGCACTTACAGACCATCTTTCACACTTTTTTCCTCCGCAATACTTTGTAGTTGTTGTTCTTGTTGCAGTGGCTATTCTAGTTTTTATTTTTTACTGAGAAGGAAGTGTTTTGGTTTAGATTTGATTTAGTTTCTTTTGTTGATTTGATTTTGAACATATTGTGTGAATATTTTGTCGGAAACTGTGATGTAATTCCAAGCTGGACTCTCATTTCTCATTCAGTACTCAGCTGGTTAAAAGACATCTACAGAGACATCGCCATCCCCTAGTCAAAGTCAAGTCAAAGTTTATTTATACAGCGCTTTTTTGCAAACAGGCATTGTCAGCTTTACAGAAATAGCGCCCATGAGCAAGCCAAAGGCGACAAGGCAAAACTCCTTTAGACCAAGAGGAAGAAACCATGAGAGGAGCCAGAGACTCACAAGGGGAACCCATCCTTCTCTGGTCGACACTGGATAGCAAAACAATAGCATAAGAGCAATATGAACAGAGAATAAGGTTAAAATAAAGAAAAGGAAAAAAAGAAAAAAAAAAGCCTGTTATTAGACAGAAGTATTTAGATCAAGCAATAATATCTGATGACTACTGTTAGAGGCCTATCAGAGTAACAATGAGAAACAGATCTGTGAAAATTAGTCACTGTAACCAGTGAAAAACAGTTACTACTGTTTGAAGCATATCACAGAGAACCATGAATGGCAGTGACTACTGTTAGAAGCCTGTAATGATGATCTATTAGTATGAATATGAGAAGCGCTCAGAGTATTGTGAGGCAGGTGAAGCAATGTCTGTGATTAATAAATCTCCCAGGTATTTAAAGTTTGACATAGAAGGAATCCACTTCTAGACCATCCTTTATACACTGAAAACATTTAGTTGTTGTTCTTGTTGCAATGAACATCATAGATTTGATTTGTTTTTTGTGTTTGTTTTTTTTTATTACATTTAATCACATAATCACATTTTGGTAATAATTTACATTAACAGACATTTCTATTTAGACTGCTTATCTGAATGTTTTTGAGTATGCACTTGCTAAAGCGCAAAAAACTAAAGTCTGGCCATAAAGAAGACCTTTGTTATGAGTGTATGGCCAATTGTATTGTCTTACCCACCACATGTACCTTTGTACTGCCAAGCATGATAGCACTGTTTGTACTATCATATCTAATTTCACTCAGCCACAGAAAGCCAGTGAACCATCATCTTCACTAACTCATCTTTTTTCCTTTGGTCCCTGTGTAGCAATTGTTACTCTCAAAATGTCCACAGCTGGGCAGTTCAATAGCCATAGCTTACCTTCTCTGGATTAGTAAGCAGTTCGGTTACATTCCAGTCATTGTCATTAAGCCTCTGTTAGTGTTTAGGCTATGACCTGGCCATTGATTATGTGACGCATGTAGGTTTAATGAGGTATAATAAATCATTAGGTCACAACAGACCACATCAGGGGCTTTGCTAGTGGCTAATGCTAACAAGGCTGAGTCAGGCTGAATTCTGGGAAAAGTGGAAAGATATGTAGGCTGCACAGATGCCTGCTCTGTTTTCTCATGGCTCTCACACAGCAAGCAGATGAATGCCATGTGAATTTCAGGGAAGACATTATCAAAATTGGTCTCACACTCAACAAACCAACTGTCTATTAATGAAAAAATAAGATATCTGGTGGAATATCTGTAATAATAAGCTGATGCCATGAGCCGAGATATTATCACATGCTCTCACATGCACTGAATAAAAATGTACCTAATGTCAGGGACCTTCTTTCAGATATTAAATCTTATTTAACCAGGACCTAACTGATGTTAAGCTTCCGCTGATTTATTGAGATTCACATTAAGCACCTATGGCTTGAAAGTTGCTTATTTTATTTTATAATTAAAACCTGAAACCTGAAAACCGCTTGTTTCTGAGGCTTTAAATGATTTAATGTCCTTATACCACTCTTTACTGAGGCAACTCCAAAGTCAAAGCCACCTGCAGCTCACCTCCCAGCTGCTCACCCTCCTACACTGTTAATTAATATAATAATTAATATAATACTTTGTGAGTTTCTGCCAGAGATGGGGACTTGAGTAGGTCTTGGTCTTTCCAAGCTTGTGTGTCAGTTTTGCTATGGTCATGCACAGTCATTACTGTAATTATGTTCTCTCACAGCTCAAAGGGGAATCGTTCAACATGGCTTTAAATATTGAGGCTTTCATTACAGAAAAAAACAGCTGGGCAGTTCAATAGCCATAGCTTACCTTCTCTGGATTAGTAAGCAGTTCAGTTACATTCCAGTCATTGTCATCAAGCCTCTGTTAGTGTTTAGGCTATGACCTGGCCATTGATTATGTGACGCATGTAGGTTTAATGAGGTATAATAAATCATTAGGTCACAACAGACCACATCAGGGGCTTTGCTAGTGGCTAATGCTAACAAGGCTGAGTCAGGCTAAATTCTGGGAAAAGTGAAATATCAGCATATCGGTGCATATTCAGTGAAAACATACTGCTTACATCAGGTACATCTGATCATCTACATGTCTACAAACCTTTATTCAGATGCATATTGGCAGTTTACAGACATTTACTGTTGTAAAGAATAGAGAGTAAACACACTGCATTGAAAATGAGCAGTACATTATTAGTACAAGTGAGTGTGGGACTTTTTTGACAGAGCACAGTAATAGAGCTTGTCAGATCTACTATGTTCAAATTTGAGAATTTGACAATAAGCATCCTGTGAGTGAATATTCTGTCACATCGTACAAAAACAGGTATTTTAATATGTTTTGCTAAGCTTATAACCTAGACAAAGTATAATAATCACATTTCCTGCTGTTAGGAATAGTTTACTGCCTGGATTACAGGATTGAATAGTGTCCAGTGTGTGCATATATATCTGCTTATGACTGGATGTACTATGGCATGCAATTACTTTTTATCTACAGTTTGATGAATACTATGAATTTGGACCCACTAATCTTTTTGGAGTAGTGTTTTGGCATGCTAGAATAGAAGTATGCTATTTTGGATTCAGCTAATATTTTGAATGTTCAGTGCTTTCTTGGAATATTCATGTTAAGGCAAAATGAACTATGCACATGGGAGTATTTGGTGACATTTTTCTCTCTGTCCTTCTCCCTGTCTTGCTCTTTTTCTGTGGACACACACACACACACACACATACACACACACACACACACACACACACACACATCAGTCTGCACTTTGTAGTGTAGCCTGTCAGCCATTAGAAGAAATGCTGACAGACATCTTGACCAGGACCTGAGTAACAAGTCAAGGTCAAATACTGGAGATCGCCATCTCCTCAGCACTCATCACACACACACACACACACACACACACACACACACACACACATGCACACACTGTGGCAGAAAGCACAACATATTGTGGTAATTCTGTGCTGATTCAAACTGGATTGGAATCAAAAGAGCTCCCCAGGATATTTTCAACATTACAAATTAACCTTGACGAAGAAAGAGAGAGCGAGAGGGAAAAAGAGAAACTGCATTACTCCCAGGCTCCTGCCATTACATCCTAGAAATGGACTTGTGCTTAGAGAGGCATCAGTACCATTTTTTCAGACCAAGTATGAATACATGTTTTTTATTACTCGCTGATACCATACTGAGTAACCTAAAATAAAGTAGTTGTTAGTGTAAATTAGTGCAATAAACTTTAATAGTTACATCTAGCTGATTGTGAGTGAAGTGCATTAGCTAGCTATGCTTTGATAATTAATTTTGATCAAGTTGCATTGCAGTGGAAAGGAGTGGGTTTTGTTCCACATCAGAAAAAAAAGTGCTTCTTACATGAAACACAGCCTCTATGTGAAAGACAGCTCTGTCTATGGACAATTATCAGTAAAGCTGTTTCATTTAAAATAACACACTGTGCACCCGAATACTGAGCAGACATGTTGAGGAACTGTTCAGAGAATGTGTTTAGTCAAACAGAGTAAAGTCAGCATATATGGACTTGCATATCGTCGCTGTCCATTTTTGTCAATTTTTTGTTTTCTACATCATTTCAACACAGTAGTTGTCCTTTACGTTGTACAAAAAATTCATGATGCATGGACCAATAGAAATGCTCTAAAATCACTTGGAACAAAATCTTTTTACATTGACTTGCATTGAAAGGTAAGAGTGTTTTTGCCTTCTCCTGTAAAGTTACTGTTTTGGAGATACTTGTTTTTCATTGGACAGCGATGATATATGGTACTGCGAATGTCTACTTTTTTCTTTTATTTGTCTTCACCAGTATTGGGGAGGTGATTGTGATTGCGTTTGTGTGTATGTTCAAAAATAGGCCATAATCACAGCATGCTCCTGGCAGGAATATGCTAAGGCGGAATGTTTAAAGTGTCCGATGATTTTGGGTCCAACTGCCATGGGAACAGAAACACTTCCAGCTGGAGTCATTTGGCATCAGGTGGTATCAGATGTTTTGATCAGTGCCTTTTTGTGAGGTCAATTGCAAGTAAATAAACACGGTATCAGCATCGATGTATCCCTACTTGTGCTAAAAGGAAAATGGGCTTCTTTTTTGTCTCCTTCTGGATTTGTGCTCCACTGTTCATGTGCAC